TCATCTGTAAAATGAAAAGCTGAGAGTAAGACCCCACCAACTCTAAAATTATCTGAACCACTAAGCAAGATAAAGCAATGAACTAATTTAATTATGGTCTTTCAGCATAACTAGGTTGCTATATCAGGAGGGCTCTCCTGAAACACATTATTTTTCTCCACTTCTGGCTTGAATATATTGTATTTTCTATCATGACTGCATAATGGATAGTCCTGAATGCCTTCAATTAAATATATTCAAATTCCCTAAAGCATGCAGTAATCTTGATTAAAATATCAACAGTTTATTACAGATGGAATAGTTCCAAAGGAAGATAATGCTCTTCAGGTAGCAGGTGTTCTTGCATTTTATTCAAAAGGCTGACTGAAAAGACAAAAGGTCTTTTGTTTCTTGTAGAGGCTAGACAGATTTTACCCAAAGAAAACAAATTATCGAAAACAAAGTCCATTTCAAAATTTCCCTCAAATTACTTTTAGTGTATTCATGTATACATATTACTCATCATTAATTAACCCTATCAGGACCGGGCGCGGTGGCTCACGCCTGTAATCCCAGCACTTTGGGAGGCCGAGGCGGGTGAATCACGAGGTCAGGAGATTGAGACCATCCTAGCTTACACGGTGAAATTCCGTCTCTACTAAAAATACAAAAAAAAAAAAAAAAATTATCCAGGAGTGGTGGCGGGCGCCTGTAGTCCCAGCTACTCGGGAGGCTGAGGCAGGAGAATGGCACGAACCCGGGAGGCAGAGCTTGCAGTGAGCCGAGATTGCGCCGCCACTGCACTCCAGCCTGGGTGACAGAGCGAGACTCTGTCTCAAAAACAAACAAACAAACAAAACACACAACTTTAACCCCATCAGGAAATGAGTAACAACAGGTAAAACAGTGGGAGTAAAATTAAATATATTTGCAAAATGAGTTAACTTTCATCTTGTAAAATCCCTTTTCTACTCTTGAGTGCTTGTTTTATTTTTTGTTTTAAATCTTACCTGGTCTGGAAGGTAATGTATTTAAATTTAATAAGAAATTTAATACTGAATATAAATGAGTTAAAAAGGAAAAATGAGAAATGTTAGCAAAAATAAGGATGGCATTTTAAAAATGAACTATTACAAAATTCAGAAAAAGATAGGGCCCAGTTATTTTTACTTAGATTAACATCCAGATCTCCTCCTTAGAAAGAGATAAACCAAACCAATTATGCAGACTTTCTAAACTTAATTTCAGAATACTTGAGTTCAAGTCATAGTCGATCCACTTACTAGTGACCTTGAGTTTATAACTTAGCCCATCTGAGCCTCTTTTGACTCACTCATAAAATGAAGGAGTGGAGTAACAGAGATTGTCATTGCTTCCCACAGGCTGAATCTCATCACACAGTGTTTGGCTTGGCTCAAGCAGAGCGTGAGAGCCAGTCATCCTACCTGGTAAACTCTCTGATCTCATACAAAACAAACTGTATTTAAAAAATTGTTATTCCTTCCAAAAAGTTAACTACATCCTTTTAAGGGTTATTTTTTTTTCTCATTCGTAACTAAAGCAAACTTCAAGAAGAAGAGAAAATTAACATCAATTTCTCAATTTTTTTGATCCTCTTATTATTCACCCATTGCTTGATTAAAGACACAAAAACTACATTTGTTTCAGTTGCATCTCTCTAATGAAAAGTAACTCTCATGTAACCAAAGGCAAAAAACGCAGAAATAGGTAATAGGTAATATGGTACTGCTTTTTACCAAATGTTCTCAAAAGCAATAGCTTTGCTTTATTGAAGTTTCTCTGAATTTACTTTTTTATTACAGGAGTCATTTAAGAATTATATATGGCCATTCTAAGAACCATGATTCATTTTGGGTTTTTTTTTTTCTAAAAATATATTCTATGCAATGTGTATAGATCTGGGTAAAAGGGGATCTTCATTTCAATATTAAAGTCAGTGTGGAACACTTGGGGCTTGGGGCTGGGAGTAAACAAATGAGTTCTGGACATAGACATACTTGGATTCACGTTCTCACTCTGTCCCTGATTGGGTATTTAGCTATAGGGTGGTAAAGTTATTTCTGTGACCCCTCTACCCCTTTAGTAAAATAAGGCTCCCATTATTTAACTCAGAGGGGTGTGCTAAGAATTCCATGAAATAACATAAGTAATGGTGTTCTATAAATGACATATTTATGTATGCATTGTTGTAGTTATCTATAATCAGTATTACCCTATATAAATAATGCTACTGGTAAATTATTGTTCAATGGCACATGCTTTTATATATGATTCCATGTTCGTTTCTGATTTAGATGGCAGACTCTTCTTCAGGCTAGACTTGAATGTCACGCATGTAAGGCACAATGGCCATCCCTTCGCAAGCGTTGTCCTAAATAAGGGTTGGCTCCAGCCCAGCCACAACCTCTGGGAGGCCACCACTTTTTTGCTTCATCCAGCAGACCCTTTTCTGAAGATCTGAGAGGGACACTTGGTGCCTACAACTTCAGTGCCTTGCTCTCAAGACTTTACAATCAGTTTGTCGAACTAGAATAATTTCTTTTTTTTTTTTTTTTTTTGAGACGGAGTTTCGCTCTGTGCCCCAGGCTGGAGTACAGTGGCGCGATCTCGGCTCACTGCAAGCTCCGCCTCCCGGGTTCACGCCATTCTCCTGCCTCAGCCTCCCGAGTAGCTGGGACTACAGGCGCCCGCCACCTCGCCCGGCTAATTTTCTTGTATTTTTTTAGTAGAGACGGGGTTTCACCGTATTAGCCAGGATGGTCTCGATCTCCTGACCTCGTGATCCGCCCGTCTCGGCCTCCCAAAGTGCTGGGATTACAAGCTTGAGCCACCGTGCCCGGCCGAACTAGAATAATTTCTAATGAACAGCCAGTTAGTAGGAATCTTTCTGGAGCTGCAAGACACTCAGAAAAGGAACCACTGTGGGAGGCTAGGCAAATGTGGTCAAGGAAAGTTCTGCAAAAGGCCGAGTTTTCCTGATTGGGTGTGACTCTGTGTGGAGGGAAAAGATAGAAAACACAGAAGAGGGCCTACCTAAGAAAAGAGAGAGAGGGCCAAGCCAGAGGGAGCGCATGTGTATACTAGAACATTTTAAAAGATGAAGAGTAAAGAAAGAAATAATTTGGAGGCAGAATCCTTGCCTTTATTGGGTTTACCATCTAGCTAGGATGCTTTCAAAAGAATGAGCAAGGTAAAATCCAGCGTGATTCCACACAGAGACAGCCAAATAACTACTTTGTAATGCTGGTTGGAAAGACATATCTTATTAATCACCAAGATGAAATGATTGCCCTAATATTCATGAATATAAAATCCAACTATATTATGAGAAATTTCTTCACAATCAACATGACTAATTACATATAGGCATATACTTTTTAAGTGTGTGTGTGTGTGTGTGTGTGTATAGTAAGAAGATAGGCTTTTTAAAATGCTGTTAAATTTCCCTAAGAATCAATTAGAGGAACCACAGGAATTCTATTCCTTGGTAGGAAGACTAATATCACAAAATGGTTTAATAGTACACTTTCTAGAAATATAAAGCTTGTCAGTATAACATAATTGAAATGTAAATACAACTGAGGCAAATAATAAAAGCAAAGCCCACAGAGCAGTACCAAATCTCTTACATGGTGCACACCATAGAATCAAGTATCACATTCCAAGAGTGCCAGTGAAGTCCTCTTACGAGAAATTTAAGTGCTATATGTTTGTAAGTTTCCATCTTTAAATATAAGAATGATTTGTTGTGGTTCTTGAAACATGTATTTTATTAGGCAGACTTTTCTGCATCATTATCGAAGAGTCTTAAGTTATAAAGTCAATTCTGGTTTCCGATGAAACATAAGACTCTGCAGACATAAACTGTTCAGAGGTAAAAGCTCTTTGGTATTCAGCTCAGGCATTTTCTATCAGTGCCAGGGCACTTAACCAAAGCTCATGTGTGAGGGAAAAAAAAAAAAAAAAGCAATGGTCTTCACGGCATGCTTTAAAGTAAGCTTTCTAGGAATTCCACCCAGATTCTTCAAACAAATACACACATACTTGTGCACGCACACATATATCTCCTTTCAGCTGCTGTTTTAACTCAGTAAAGAGTAAAGGTGTTTGACCAAGTCTCATTAATATTAATATTTACTATATTATTTTGTTCCCTGAACACTGTCACTTTGTTATACTAAATTAAAGCTCTGGCAGAAACATCCAATTAATACTCAGGAAGAAAATGCATTACCGTGTCACAGTTAATAAGCAGTTCCGTGTAATCATACCTTGATCATTCTCCTGAGTAGTTCAGCCCTTTGCACAGTGTGCTTCAAACCAGAATGTCTATTATTAGTTCCCTTAATGATTGCTCATATGTGAGGAAAAATGGATAGCCGCTCTTCTTTCAGATACACAAATAATCTATTTTCTTTTATTGGAAAGGATAGGGAAGGAAACAACGAAATAGGAAGAAGAAATGTTCGTGTCTTAATTATTATTATATAAGGAGTCTCTAGGATTCAGTCATCATCACAGGATATGATGTTGAACTCAAAGCTGGTTCTCATGCCCCAGCTTACCAAACCCCATAGATCATTTCAGCCACAGGAAATGGCACCTTTGAAAAACAGGGGGCCTTCTCTAGCCAAGTCAACTCCCTCAGGCCACATGATACCTACAGAGAGGGGGCCAGGTGTGGTGGCTCATGCATGTAGTCCCAGCACTTCGAGAGGTTGAAGTGGGAGGATTGCTTGAGCTCAGGAATTGAGACAAGCCTGGGCAACATAGTGAGACCTGATCTCTACAAAGAATATAAAATTAGCCAGGCATGGTGGTGCGTGCCTGTAGTCCCAGCTATTAGGGAGTCGGAGGCAGGAGGATCGCTTGAGTCCAGGAGTTGGAAGCTGCAGTGAGTGACGACTGCACCACTGCACTGCAGTCTGGGTGACAGAGCAAGACCCTGTCTCTAAAACAGAACACAATAAGCTCAGAGGCATCACAGGCCATGTTCCTACCTTGATGAGAATCTGAATGGATCCTGTTGCCTTTGCAGATATGAAATACCAGAAGCTCATGGTGCAGGCTGCACTGGATTCCCGCCACATGGTACTCCTGATGTGTGCTTTGTCACCCCGAAGGCCCACTGGAGTGGCCTCCAGATACATGAAGTGCCCTAGGAACAAGGACAGAATTCAGAAAAGACCAAAATAACAATGATGGGATTATTTTTACATTTCCATCATAGTTATGGTCTTTAATTACAATTCATATGATCTGAGGTGCCAAAAGTATTTTCATCTGGAACAGAAAGAAAATCGAATAGCCTTGCCTCTAGCTTGCTGACAGAACAATTTCCAACTGTCTGTGCTTTTAGCACATGCTTCACAGTATGCAGATTAACTGATCTGATGGGATATTTACGCCATTGAATCAACAAGATAGTTACAAAAATTATTTTATTGATTTCCCAACTATCAAGTGATTGTAAAATACTGTAAAGACTACCTATGAAATCTAAAAGAAAAGAGTGATAAAATGTGCTTTTAAAAATTCAGTCATCTGTTGAGTGTGTAAATACTGAGAATTTTAGTAAGTAACATGGGAAGAAAGGTATTGAGTTTTGTTCTTGCTCATTGACCTATCCAAAACATTTCATGTATGGAGAGCTGAGTGCTTGAATGAGACTTTGGTCTTGCTCTCCATGGCTTGGTCAGTTTTTGTTTGTTTGTTTGTTTTTTCAATAGGCCTATGGAATTTCAGTGTTTAGACTTCTTTGCCTATTACGTAGCATCCAGGGATTCAGGGTCCCTTCTTCATTCTGCTACTGTCCTTTATTCCTTCACCAAAGAGGCTGAGACTTAATCTCAGCTACTCACTACAAAAATGAGCCATGCCCAATACCCTTAACATATGTGGTTTTACAGTGAAATTTTCATGCCATCTCTATAGGTTTCAAACTCTTATCCCTTCATATACATCATCTCCAAATCTCTGTGAGGCACAGAGATCGAATTTTATTATCTCAAAATGACAGATGAGGAATCTGAGAATCTGAAAAGTTACATGACTTGCTGATGATCATATGAGTGGCAGAATTCAGGGTTATTGATTACAAGTGTATGCTATTTAGGAAAGATGTTTGATGGCAGCATACATTCTCATCTAACTTCAATGACTGAATTAATGATTAATACTGGATTCTGGCTAAAAACTCTTATGGTTTGAATTGTGTTCCCCTCTTCCCAAAAATATGCCAAAGTTCTAACCCCCAGTTCTTATGAATGTGACCTTATTTGGAAATAGGGTTTTTGCTGATGATTAGGTTACAATGAGGCTATTAGGCTGGAGACTTATCCAATATGACTGGGTCCTAATAAAACAGGGAATTTGGACCAAGAATCAGACATGCTCACAGAGAAGACGATGTGAAGACTTAGGGAAAACCACCATCCACAAGCCAAGGAACTACTGAAACTACCAGAATCTAGGAGGGGACATGGAAGAGATAATTCTCCCTCACAACCCTCACAAGGAACCACCGTTGCCAGTATGTTGATCTTGGACTTCCAGGCTGCAGAATTTGAGACAATAAATGTCTGTTGTCTAAGCCATCCACTCTGTGGCCCTTTCTTACAGCAGTCCTAAGAAAAAACATGCACTCACTACATGTTTGATCGCCTTGCAGTATCATCGTGGTGGTCTCGCCAGAGCTCCCCAGGTGCTGTCGGAAAAGACATTTTAATGTACGTTGCGAATATCATGTGAAAGCAATTACGACAATCTAATCACCTACCATTTTCATTTCCAAGTGTGTGGTCTTTGGGAGGTCTTAAGCTTTGATGAGAACCAACCCCTAAAACCCAATCAAAGTTGTCAGCCAGGGAGTTGTGCCAGCCACACCAGCCTTTTTCAAAAGTGCAGGAGCTACCACACTCATTTTCATCAGTATTATCTCCACAGTCATCTACGAAGTTACAGCTTTGTTCCAGCCTATAGCATTTTCCATTCTGACATTCCCAATAGCCAAGTGGGCAGAAACCTAAAACAAAAAACAAAACAAAACAAGAATGAGCGAACACTCCTAACACATTCGGTGAGGTCAAAAAGCAGTAAGAGTGGATTCATTTTAATCTATAAAGGAACATATTGTTCTCAGGAATTTCAGGTACCTGAACCCCATCTCTCTCTCTCTCTCCCAGTCTACTCCAGAGCTCTAACTATAGAAGTTTATTCATGACTATGGTTATTTACAAATGCAAAAAAAAAAAAAAAAGCATCACTTTATTGATCTAGGAAAGTACCCCTCTGTCTCCCCAAATGCAGCATTCCTTGTAAACTGAGTTCAAGGATGTAAATTATATCTGAGGGCCAATGTGAAGCCTTCTATTTTTTCATCTGGAAATAAAATCTTTAAGGAACTAAGAGGTCATGTATTATGTGGCATTTGGAAATACATTCCATTAGCATCCATTCACTCCAATATTCTTCAGAAGCCACGATATGTAAGACACCTCCTTAGAAGCACGACTGCAAATATATAACTAATAACTGACACTACAACAGATTTTTTCTCTAAAATGCATATTTATTTGTCTATAATTTGGAATTTTTAGAAGCAATTTTTCTACAACACAATGTCAACCATAGAGATTTGTTCATAAAACATGAGAACAAGCAATGCCTTTGAAGACCTGAGTTTGACCTCTAGTGCTGATATTTATTCGTAATGTGACTTGGATCATACCAATATTTGATAAACTTTAGTTTCCTTATCTCAAAAGAGATAAAAAGAGCAAAATCCTAGAGAAGTTAAGCTAATTTAAGACAGTATTGTGTGTGTGTATGTATATGTGTGTGTGTATATATATATATATATCACTGCTGCCTAGAACAGTGCATGGCTCTTAGTATGTGATTAGTAAATATTAGTCAAAAAAATGAATGAGTGAAATAAAAGTGCTTTGGAATAAGGTTATTTAGAATGTATACTGAAGGTATTATTATTATACTACTCCAATATTACAACAGAATTTAACTGTCATGGGTAACAATATTTCAATAGAAAAAGTTGTTTAGAAATCCAACTTGGGATATCAGCTTCACATTTTTTTCTCTGACACTACAGGATCTGACATTTTCTTTCTTCTCGTCTTCCCCTTCTTCCAGGTAGAGGAGCTGATAACATCACTCCTTGTTTTACTGTAATGGTGGTAGCCTCCCCGCATGAACCTCTGGAGGCCAGTTACCTGGTGGATGTGGGTTGATGTGGGTCAGAGGTAGGGAATGAAGTTCAGTATTTATTATAAGGTTTTCTGGCATCTGGAAACGACTGGTGATAAAACCTCATATAGAAGCATGTATCTCACGGATAAGTCTCACGTTTTAGACAATAGATGGTCAAGAGGGGAGAGAGTAGAAAATGAAGATGAATGGAATGCCACATTGAAGCCACTGGAGAGGAAACTGGTGTTATGAAGACTTCTGGCTATTTTGTGTACTACGCTGTTCCTGAACTGTTTGAGCTTGCCTAATTAGGTGAACTTTCCATTACGAAGCCATTGAAAATAAGTTTCAACCATGGACTCCGTCTCTGACAAAATTTTTTTGGTTAGGTTAATTATTAACGTTTTATGAAATGAAAACACAACATAGCAAAACTTGTGAGATGCAGCAAAAGCAGTACTAAGAGGGAAGTATACAGTGATAAATACCTACATTTAAAAAAGAAATACCTTAAATAAACATCCTAACTATATTTGCCAGAAAACTAGAAGAAAAAGAACTAAGCCCGAAGTTAGCAGAATAAAAATAATTATAAAGATTAGAACATAAATAAATAATAGAGAATAAACCATAGAAAATGTCAATAAAATACATAGTTCATTTTTTGAAAAGATAAACAAAACTGACAAACACTTAGCTAGACGAACAAAGAAAAAAGGAGAAGCCTCAGATAAATAAACTTAGAAATTAAAGGAGGAGTTATTACAACTGATGTCATAGAAACATAAAGGATCACTGAGACCACTATGAACAATTATACACCAAAAATCAAATAACTTGGATAAATGGATACATTCCTAGAGATTCCTACAGCCTACTAAGACTGAATCATAAGAAACAGAAAATCTGAACAGACTAATAATGAGTAATGAGATTGAAATGGTAACAACCCTCCCAATAAAGTCCAGAACCAGATGGTTTCAAGGGTGAATTCTACTAAATATTCAGAGAAGAACTGCCATTAATTCTTCTCAAACTCTTCCAAAAAATTGAAGAGAAGTGAACATTTCCTAATTCATTTTATTAATCCAGCATTACCTCAATACCAAAGTCATGCAAAAACACTACAAAAGAAGAAAACTACAGCCAATATCCCTAATAAATATGGATGCAAAAATCCTCAACCAAATATTAGCAAACCAAATTCAACAGCACTTTAAGAGGATCATGCATCATTATCATGTAAGATTACACCTGATATGCAAGAATAGTTTAACATCAGGAAATTAATAATGTGATACCCCACATTAACAGAATGAAGAATAAAAATCTTATGATCATTTAAATAGATGCAGAAAAAGAATTTGACGAAATTCAACACCATTTCATAATAAATTCTCTTAAATTATATATAGAAGGAATTTACACCAACATAATAAAGGTCATATATAAAAAGCTCAAACACAACATTATACTCAACAGCGAAAATTTTTCAGTTCTTTCTCCAGCATAAGGAGTAAAGAATTAATGCCCAGTCTTGGCACTTCTATTCAAAATCGTACCAGTAGTACTAGTCTGAGCAATTAGGCAAGAAAAGAAAAAAAGGAAGCATTAAAATATAAAAAGAATAAAATTATATATGCTATATATAATATATACTACATATAATATATACTATATGTACTATATAATATATTATAAAACGATATATAATATAATTAATATAGTATATACTAGTATATATAGTATATATAAATATATACGCATAATATATACTAGTATATATAGTATATATAAATATATACGCATAATATATACTAGTATATATAGTATATATAAATATATACGCATAATATATGTTATATGCTATATATAATATAAATGGTTGCTTACAAATATGTTGTTTGATTTCAAATATTTAGGTGATTTTTCAGATATGTAATTTGATACTGATTTCTATTTTAATTCCAACTCCTGGACTCAAGCGATCCTCCTGCCTCCGACTCCCTAATAGCTGGGACTACAGGCACGCACCACCATGCCTGGCTAATTTTATATTCCTTGTAGAGATCAGGTCTCACTATGTTGCCCAGGCTTGTCTCAATTCCTGAGCTCAAGCAATCCTCCCACTTCAACCTCTCCAACTGCTGGGACTACATGCGTGAGCCACCACACCTGGCCCCCTCTCTGTAGGTATCATGTGGCCTGAGGGAGTTGACTTGGCTAGAGAAGGCCCCCTGTTTTTCAAAGGTGCCATTTCCTGTGGCTGAAATGATCTATGGGGTTTGGTAAGCTGGGGCATGAGAACCAGCTTTGAGTTCAACATCATATCCTGTGATGATGACTGAATGCTAGAGACTCCTTATATAATAATAATTAAGACACGAACATTTCTTCTTCCTATTTCGTTGTTTCCTTCCCTATCCTTTCCAATAAAAGAAAAATAAAAGCAAGAAGCTAGAAAAATAAAAGTAAATTTATTACAAAGTAAGTAGAGGAGGAAAATAATGGAGATTAGAGGAGCTATCTATTAAAGACAAAATGAACAATTGTGAAAAACAGTAGTTCAACCAAAAGCTGTTTAGTTGAAAATATCAATAAAACTTATAAAACATCATCTGTACTGATGAATAAATAAAAATAAGACAAAGATTCCCAATACGAAAAATGAAAGACACGGTATCACTACATGTTGTATAGACTTTAAGAAGATCACAAAGGATTATTATGAGCAAATTTATAACACTAAACTTGGTAACTTTGGTGAAATATATCAATTCCTCCAAAAACAAATTACCAAATCCAACTTGAGGAAAAAAATAAAGGTGAATAGCCCTACAACTATTACATGGATAGAAACCATAATTAACAGTCTTGTCACAAAGAAGACGCTAGGGCAAAATTTAGCTGAATTCTACGACACATATAAAGAAGAAATAATAGTAATCCAACATGTACTCTTCCATAAAACAGAGGAAGAGGGAGCACTCCCACGTGTATTTTATGATGTCAATATTACTCTAATACCAAAAGCAGAAAAAGACATGACAAGAAAACGATAGACCAATATTTCTCATGAACAGAGGCACAAAATTCTGTACTAAATTAGCCAATAAAGTTCTGCACATAAGACAGTATGTCATGATCATGTTCATGTCAGAGTGCAAGGAATTCACTTGAATATCAAGTAATATAAATAACCATAAACAAAATAAAGGGAAAAACACAAGATATTTTTAATAGATTCAGAAAAAGACATAAACAAAAAATATTTGTCTTCTGAAATATGTGGCACACATCAGAGCAAGAGGTAGACCACACACTGATTTATCACAGGCCCCGTGTTCTTTCAAATACTCGTGCCTTAAGACTTTGCTGGTGCAGATTAATACTTCTTTCCATGGCCACCAAAAAGATGCTGTCTGAATCTGGAAAATATTTGTTGATACAGTGGTATAGAAGGAGTTTTGACAGCAGATTCATTCAACCAAATCCACTTCTACCAGTGGATTTCATTTCATCATCATCGTCACAAGTGCATGTGATAAATTACAGTGGAGAATTTATTTTCAATAATGCTTTTGGAAATGCAAAACTAATTCCCTTCTTCGTTAACTGAATACATATTGTTTAAGCTTTGGTATAGTTCTAGTTCAAGATAGAGAGGTAGCTTCCATACAGTATAAAATCTAATACTGGCCCTCTAGAAATATGAAGTTTAGAGTGCAAAAACTGTATATATTTGAAAAGCTAAATACATAATGTTTCTAATAAAGTAGGGAGATAAAAATGTCAATTAATTCAATTATGTTTTAA